ATATCATCAGTAGCACTTTTTATCAAGTGGAATCCAAATTGTCTCAATAGAAATGATGGAGTGAAACAGAATTTAACCTGATTACAACCCCTCGCCTCTCCCATGAAATGACACATTAAACACGAATGTGATAAGCGATTTCACTATGTAAACATACACACTGCTTTTATCAAATCCAACAGTAATCTAAACCTGGTTTTGTTATCTTTACCAAATGGCCAACTTGACAACAACGCAAAAATGACCCCATTCTGAGGAACAATGATGATTAAGTTGTTATATATATAAGCTGAGTGGATGAAGCTATTAGCAGCAGCATTAAACAACAGCGAAACGTTAGTAAAAGTAGCAGCAATATCATTTTGTTTTTCATTCATCGGGAAATAATTTATCACCTTTATTTTAATGAACAAATTACTTAATGTAGAGAGCATTCTACGATTTGAGTTAAACTCATCACATTATTACTAATCGCCTTATTCACTTCTTGTCTTTATTACGTAACTGCATTACCACTGTATGCAAACACTTACTTCTCTTTAAATTTCAACCCTATAGTTAAACTATAAAAGTGTACTTTTTCCTGAGCATTGTTCATCCAGTATGGAACATCCTGTCATTAACTGACATCATGCCACAATTGCAAGTGTGCTGAAGTTTGCTGTGTACATACACTTAATAGTAATTTCTTTAGGCTGTACGCAGCTGATGAGAAGCCAATGAAATAAGGAATACTGGTACCATATTATTCTACATAAATCATTGTTGTTCTTGGCTTATTCAAATTCATAATGAAAAAACAAACCTATAGAGTTTCTCAATGATGTCTCTGCTGATGCCTAGACGAGAATTAACATACATATATAGATATATACCCCCAAATTAATGCATGGCTTTGAAGAGAAGTTACACAAAAGACATCTCTTCAAAGATTTATCTCTTCTTTATTATATCAAATGAGAAGTACTCATTCTGTAAATTTTATTTTATTTTTTTCTTTTATTCCTTTATTGAAGGATATAACAGGATGTCTTCAATCCCATCTATCCAATGATCAGCTTAATTTACTCAAGTAATGATCATGTTGCGAATTAATAAACAAAAAGGAAAATTAAATCACTATATCAAGGGGGCAAACACAGTGTTACTCACAGACTGAGGAAACCGTCAGTTTCATGTCTACACACCATGGATAAAAGTGAGGCAAAGAATAGACACAAGGGTGAAAAATTATTTTCAATAGTCAAAATTTTCTTTAAACGAAAACATTCTAAAACTGACCTACTTTCTATTTATTTTGGTTGGTGTGAAGATGGTTTTGAAGATTGAGGAATAACAGAACCCGTTGTACTTCTTGTTGATTTTGTGTATTTTTTGGCTATTATATAACGATTCTCAGGAGAATTGAAACACATACACGATTTGTAATAGGAAATATTACACTGTGAAACAGTAGAATCATTTCCTTGATGATAAAGTTAACCAACACAATTCATTATTGTTCATAATCATAATCATTATTTTTATTTATTTTTTATTTATTTTTTTATTTTTTGATTACAGCTTGATTCCACACCGTATTTTTGGTACAAGTGTGGAATTTTCAACGTGGATATCGGTAACCCAAAATTCGCAGGCCGACCATAGATATCAGGTGTGCGTCGGCATGGGCTCGAACCCCGGACCATGTGCATGGTCGGCGAGAGTCCTAACCACTGTGCCACCGACGCACAAAGGTGAAACTTCAAAGTTTAGAAACTTTCATTTTATGGTTTTCTTTATTTCTTCTCGGTTTTCGTTGTAGGAGTAATAGAATTTTTCAGATATCCGAATATGTGAGTGATAAATTTTTTTCTGTTTAAATGTATTTTCAGTAGATTCGATAAATAAAGCTTCTCTCTCTAATAATGCATCTCTCTCTCTCTCTCCACTGTGTTTTATAAGGTTTTAGAATTGTCATCTTATCTTAGCCCATAAATCCACTTAGAAACCAGCTTTGTCAGTTAGAAGATCCCTCCTCCTAAACACAAAACAGTTTAATTTTGTCTAATACCTTGCTGCAATGATTGTCAGGTAAAATACATAGGTCAAAGTAGTAGAACAGGGTCAGTCAGACTAGTGGAGCACGAAAACCTAACAAAATCTAGACTTTCAAGTGTTGGTTTGTAGGGATTTGATTGGTTTCAGGATTTCATCATGAGCTGACATTAGTTAGAGAACCATTGGAAAACCTGGGAGTACTGGACAGCTGTTTCGTCCTAGTTTGGGACTCTTCAGCAGTACGCACCCACCGGGATTCGAACCCAGAACCTTCCAATGGTTCTCTAACTAATGTCACCTCATGATGAAATCCTGAAACCAATCAAATCCCTACAAACCAACACTTGAATACCAATGAGATGCTCACTGGCGACTGGCCCTATTCAGGTAGGTAGTTACCTGGGTTCCAGTGGGAAGTCGTGACCAGTAGGGTGCAGCTGGTCGGGCGTGAGGACAAATACTCGCCGAAGACATTGGCTAGCGGTCGTGCTATGTCGTGAATTGGCAGAAGTCAGAATTCAAGGACCATTGGATCGGGTCCCTGTGGCTTAAGGGTATACAAGCTCGCTAGTCTTGTAACCGGAAGGTCCTGGGCTCGAATCCCGGTGGGTGCGTACTGCTGAAGAGTCCCAAACTAGGACGAAACAGCTGTCCAGTACTCCCAGGTTTTCCAATGGTTCTCTAACTAATGTCAGCTCATGATAAAATCCAAAAATCTAGACTGGTTGACTTGAATAAGATAAGAAATCTGGAGGATAGTTCAGCTACACCACTCACTATATACAATTGCACACAACCATACAATAGGATGGATGTGATAAGATGACGGTTTTAAAATCTAATCTGATGTAACAGGGAAGAGATTGATAACGGAAGCCTTGTTTATCGAATCAACCGAAAAACATGTTTAAACAGGAATGGTTCAACACCTATCCAGCCAGACATTTGAATAATTCTACTACCCCTAAGACGACGAATATGAAGGAGTAAACAGAACCATTAAAACTCAAGTTTCAAAGTTGTGTGGTTAAAACTAATGATGTGATTATGAGTAAGGATAAATCGCGTTCGAAACTTCATCATCCATTAAAAAGTAATACTGTTTCACTATCTAATATGGCGTCACATAATATATAGCTTTGAAGTGAAGTTGCAAAAAAATATTCTTTACAGAGTCAATTCGTTTTACTGAATATGACATGGGTAATCTTTGAGTGCTGACTAAAAATACCTGACCCCCCCTCCCGTTCCTAAATACATCAGTTTGAATGAAAACACTACAAGGATATACGGAAAAATAAAGAGCACTTTTGACACAATAGACCATCTTTTACTTACAATTTTATATATGCTTGATTGTGAAACCTATTATTATTATTACTATTATTGTTATTATTATAATGATCACTCTATCTCAAATAGTAATAATCATACAGAATGAAATTTTCAGCTTTTTGTTTTACATATCGCAACTATTTAGCTCCTTTTATATAATTATGTACATATATAAGATTTAAAACAGTAGTAATAATATTCTATAGTTTGGTTTGTAAGGGTAAGTTATGTTTTTACGAGTTGATCACGGTTAGAGAACCATTGAAAACCAGCACTGGAGTACTGGACAGCTAACTGATATCAATCCATGATCAATTCATAAAAAAACATAACTAACCCTTACAAACCAAACTATAGAAAATTAATCTGATACTAGCTAGTGACTTGCTACAGGTTGGAGTTTCCTGGAGTTCTAGTGAGAAGTTGTGACCAGTGAAGTCCAGTTAGATGTCACGTATGTGGATGGATGTCCCACCAACGATAATGGTTGGGGTCGCGCTAAATCACGAATTGGTAGAAGTTAGAATTCATGAGCCATTGAATGGGGTCTGAATGGCTGAATGGTATACGAGTTAGCTTGCCTTGTAACCGGAAGGTCTTGGGTTGGAATCCCAGTGGGTGCATACTTCCGATGATTCCCGAACTAGGATGAAACAGTAGCTGTCCAGTACTCCCTGGTTTTCAATAGTCCGTTCTCTAACTGATATCAATCCGTGATCAACTCGTAAAAAAGGAGTAATAATAATTTTAATAATGAAACCACTATAAACAGAATGCTGGTGGAAACATAATGAAGTATAAGTAGATACTATCATAGATAATACATGTAATAATAATAATAATAATAATCCTTGTTTATTCTCACTTTGCAGTTCAGTTACTGATTTAAGTATTTTGTAATCTCTCTTTTCTGACATCTGAATCTCTCTCTCTCTCTCTTCACACAAAACTCGTGCTAAATATGCTGGTATGATAGAATTTTCATATTTAGCAGTTGTACGAGCACAAATTCCCTATGAAGTATCTTCTGGTTTTATCCTAAGAGAAACAAGGAAATAGTTGCTAATAAGTAGACAGGATGTTGATTATCAGACAAGATAACTTTAGCTAACTGCTTACAAGAAGTGAACTGCCTATTGACAATAATGTCAGTTAGTTAGCTGAATCAAAGACACCACCACTAACCCTACTTTCCGACTTCAGTTTTCTGCGTAATATGACATAGTCGTTTTTGAGAAGTCCAAGGAAGAATAAATGGGGGGCGGGGGAAACGGGGACAGTAAAGAAGAATGAGCAGAATGCATGAATAAATAAATTGTTAAAGAGAAGGTTCAGTTATGCCAGCAGAAACTTTCAACTTCTTTATGTTATTAGGCAGGTGGATATGAGACAATCAACAAATTGCTAGATGCTATTATGAAACAACATTCAGCGTCACAGACTAACACAAAAACTCTGAAGCTATTCAAAAAGATGTCACATAAAAAGATATTTCCAGTTCATACTTCAATGTAAAATATTTAAGTAATACATCCTATTATCATATAATTTAATCATTTCGACTGTAACATTCAAAATAAAATATTCAACGAAGAAACTCTTTTCAACGAATTTCTTTTTTTTTTCAATAGATGAGCATATCGACGAACGACTTCGCTGCAGTTTGTTCAATTGCTGGGAGATGTTGTCAACGACCTCATTACTTTTAATGCTGATAACATTGGGTCAAGGTTATTTTTCAATAATGTTTTATTATTGAGGGACTATTCTCTATAAGGTACCTTAACAAAATTATAACTACTTCAGGCTTATGTCTTCAAGGAAATGCCAAAGTAGACACAAATTTGAATATATGCAATGCACACTCCAGTTATTAAAAATACATAAACTAGGGCTAAATAAATACATTAATAACTACAGTAATAACTAAATATTAACTGAAGAAACTACTGTTTTCCCATTCGATGCTTGTGATGTCTTAAGCTTCTGACGCTATTTACCACTTCCATTGTGATGTAAAAGTTTCAAGATCAATCATCTTAACTATCTGGAAAAGTTCATTTTATGATTCTGTATGTTTTTCAAAATTTCAGCCTTTTATTTTAAGTAATATACCTATCATATTGTAACGTATATATATATATATATATATATATATATATATATATAAAATAATCTTATCAACAAACACTTTGATGGAGCTTACTTAAACCTACAGTAAATGACATTTAAACAATGAATTTTTGTATCTAATCATAATATTTGAGCACGAAATATCTCCAAAGTTTATTGGTTCAAACAAAATTCCAGTTTAGTAAGTTTAAATGCTACGGAGTAGACGAAAATTTTAATAATTTACATTGAATTTAAAAAAAACCACAAAGCCTTACCATATATTTAGTTGTAAGAATAATAAAAATAAGTGCCACAACTGATTTACCACTAATTTCTAAATTCATTGGATATATTTAATGCTTCTTTGTTATGTTTGTAACCTATTTATGTTATCAGGGAAAAAGTTTCAATTAATAAGCTAGTAATTTCACCAAAGGACTTAATATTATACTACTTACCCAAAAATATAATCCCCTGGAATTCATTAGGGAGAAATTCATGAAATTTTACTTTGAAAACAATCATATTGAGACTTGAAAGTCGAAAATTAGAATCTGTCTTTGGTAATAGTACCTAAAAGCCATTAAAACTAAAATGGACCGGTAGATGTTATGCATTTTATAAATTACTCCCTATGAAGTGAATATTAAAGTGAAGAGCTACCATGTTTGCTTCGTATGATCGATGTTGGCACAGTGAGAATGGATATTTAAGGATTACTTGTAAGGCCTAAAGGAATTCCAACATGCATATAGATATATGATGAACGAAAAGAGTGAGAAAATTAAAATACTTTGCACAATTAGCCTTTATTAAATGTTCCAAAACTTTCTCCTCATATCATTTTTTGACAGATAAACTCTAGATGGAAATGAAAAAGTCATCAGTCACTTTCATCACGTCATTTATTTCATTATCGACAAGATGCTAAATGTCTGCACATACATTGTAACACAGTTTTAACCAAAATAAAATCCAGGCCCAATCTTTTTCCGTTTTTCACCTGCTCTTAAGTCTCCTCTCTTCGCTTCTGAGATAAAGTCTTCAGGAACAACGTAATCTTCATTGTCTACATTAGAAATTCGTCTCTCATAAGGTTGGAAATCGTATCCAAAAGGTAGTGGTTCTGAGTGAGAATAATAAACAGAAGGGATTGCATATAGTGGGATCATGCCAATTAAAAGAAGGAAGTAGATGGATAACATCATGTTAATAACAATCTATGTAACTAACAAAATCCATGATGCCTTTTTATATGCACAGATAGGTATCGATCTGGCCTTTAACAATTTCATAGCTAAGCAAGTAACTTTATTAAAAATTTTGTGTAGGAAATGAACATTATTTCTAGATTTAATTTGTATTTATGTTGTGCCTATTGTTTATTCGAATGACGTAGTTTGGAGCGCAATTTATTAGGTGCGCTACTTAACCACAAACAAAACGTTTTGTTCATTGTGAGTTTCTTTGATTATGTTTGTTAATGTTCTAGGTTTTTATTTTAAGGATAAAGTCTCATTGTTGTAACTTCATCCTTTTGTTAGACTTACTGGAAAAGATTCTTCCAGTGATGTGACTTTTATATGGGTTATTCTTATACAACCCTTAGAATCTGACTTCCAGCTGATAAAACCATGTTTGCTGCCCTGTTTGCCAAAATGAGGTCTGAATCCGTATACGAAATCTTTGTATAAACTTGTTTCAGGTCTCCGAGTTGTATTTTCACAGTGTTTTAAATACAAAATGATTGCATGATATAACCCTATCTGAGATACTTTGTATACAGCTTTGAGCGTTTTTATAAACAATTCCGCCCCAACGTCATTTCACACTGACCACTTAATTCCAAAAATCTAATAATTTAAATTCAGACACTCAAAAATAGTACTCTCGTGACCTGTGTTAATCCTTGCGATGTACATCTCTGCAGAGATTTAAAAGCGTTCATCGATGAAGTTGATACTACTTTTGATTGGATGAAGAGTTCTGGTTGTTAGTCACTGTATGCGAGGGTATAAATTCTACATGTATTTCGTCCGTCGAAGATTTTAGCAAATGTATCTTAAATTTTAGAAACATCAGTCATCGGATCACTCCTTCATACATGGTATGCCTAAATCAGGTCGACTCCCCTTCTTTGACATGATGGTGGAGAAAGAATTAAACGTTCCATTCTGTTCTGATAAAGGTGTTAGATACCACTGACCAATTCTGCCTCTACTCTTTGTATTCATTTCAAGATACACGCTTCTTTTTTAAAGTATGGACTATCCGCTTGTACACAGTTTTCTAAATGAGACCTGATATATGTTGTATGGATTACTTTGGACATAGATTCATCTAATCTTCTGGAAGCCCCTCGAAGTGCCCACAGTATTTGAAAATCCTTAGCTGCAGTTGCATTATAATATGCAGCTGTTTCCAAATCATGGCTGACAATTCCAGAGTCCTTTTGGCCCCTTACATCGGGTAGTTGTGTGTCTTTAAAGGAGTATAACGTGTAAGACGTCTGACTTAAGTGCATCACCACGTTTTCCCTGGGATTTAATAGTATCAAAAAGAAAAACATTACTGTTGGATTGCACTATATAACTCAACATCCAAGTGTCGGTGGAACAGTGGTTAGGACTCTCGCCGACCATGCACATAGTCCGAGGTTCGATCCCCTGCCGACGCACACTTGATATCTATGGTCGGCCTGCGAAATTTCCCGACCGAAAGCTGCTACCTTGACGTGGTGGTCGGGCTTGAACACCGCAATGACCTAATCAAGCTATACTGGCTGAGACTTATGTCTCTTGAGGTTCTACCATGCCAGGCAGGTTGTTTGGATAGCGGTTAAACAAAAAGCAGCTACCTCATCCAATACCATGATCCAAACAAATTCACAAAATTTCATGCCGGATCGGCCGTGGCCCGGATTAACAACGACCGCGCTTCCTGCTGCCGTGTCACAGGGCGGGAGTGATAAGTATGCTACTGAGGCACACAAAACAACAAAGAACGAACAAAAACAGGCCGCGTGTGACCGGCCACAAGCAGTTGTCCCCTGGGCTCTGCGGTCACGCAACCAACTTCCACGGTGTGGGCAGCCGGGAAGTAACAATCGCCCTCACAATCCAAAACGCACACAAAACCTCTCTAATCCTCACTTATCTTTGTCTTCATCTTCATCTCTATTACCTTGCCTTCCCCCAGTGATGCAACTCCTCTACTTGATGGCTCCTCACTCCCTCTTCACTCTGTGTCCACTAAAAACGACGAAAGCCAAAAAACCACCACGGATAGTCTCCTAAAGCCACGCCACCAATTTCATATAGGAGCATTTAATGTAAGGACACTTTGCCAAATAGGACAACAAGCATCACTAGCTAAGACCCTGGCATCTCGAGCCATTGATGTATGTTGTGTTTCAGAAACACGCATACAAGACCCAAGTGTGGTTATTCACCTAACCCCACCTGGCCAACAGGATGAATCTTCAAAATTCACCTTGAGGGTGTCAGGAGATGCCACAGCTAGTTCACGAGGATTAGCTGGCGTAGGGATAGCTCTGAGTACTAGGGCAGAAAAGACATTGCTTGACTGGATCCCGGTAGATAGCCGAATGTGTGCTGTCCGTCTGAACGGATCAGTAAGAAGGAGAAAGGACTGCACTACTCGCCGATGCCTTTTCGTAATCTCCGCCTACGCCCCCACTGACTGCAGTTCGGATGAAACGAAGGATGAGTTCTACCAAAAGCTGTCTAGTTTGGTGAGAAAGGCTAAACGCTCAGATATAGTCGTTCTAGCTGGTGACTTTAACGCTCAAGTAGGGAAATTGTGTCAATCTGAGAAGGATGTCGGTGGCACCTATGGAGTTCCGTGCCAGCGAACCGACAACGGTGACCGTCTCCTACAGTTCTGTTCAGATAATCATTTGTTTCTTGTAAGCACTAACTTTAAACACAAGGAGAGACACTGTTTAACCTGGCGACCCCCATCATCAAACCAACGCTGGACACAAATAGACCACATAGCAATAAGCTATCGTTGGCGTGGGTCGGTAGGAGATTGTCGCTCCTTCTGGAACACGTGTGTAGATACCGATCACGCACTGGTCCGGGCTCGTGTGTGCTTACGACTGAACGGACGTAGGAAACAGCTGGCGGTAAAACCATCACGTCCCCAGCTCGATCAGGAAACTAAATCCCTATTTGAGGAAGAACTAGCTAAACGCATATCTGAATTCGACAGCTGTGCTCACCCTGGAGAAGCCTGGAAGAATATTCAGTCAGCTATAGATACAGCTGTAAAAGCTGTGAATAAGGCAAATCCAAAGGTGAGTAAAAACCACTGGATTTCGACTGCCTCATCCGAACTGATAGATGCTAGAAGACTTATTCCGGCGAGCTCCGAATTCAATGAGGAGCGAAAGCTGCACAAAAGGAAACTTACTAAAAGTCTCCGCAAGGACCGTGAACAGTGGTGGGTGACAAAGGCGAAAGAGATGGAAAAAGCATTGGCGATAGGCAACACTAGGCAACTCTTTAGACTCATCACAGAATCGGGCGGGAGAAGGCAATTCATAAGTGAGACTATTTCTGAGAAAAATGGCTCCTTAATTAGCTCTCAGGATAGACGCCTTGAACGCTGGAAAGAACACTTTGAGGAACAATTTAACTTGCCTACAGCCACACTGAACCTCCCCGCCATCCACCACGTACCCGAATGGGATATAGACACTGGTCCGCCGTCTGTAGGTGAGGTTACAAAAGCTATCAGTAATTTGAAACGAGGCAAAGCGGCAGGACCCGACGGAATTATTCCGGAGGTGTTTAAATATGGGGGTGACATACTAGTTTGTAGATTAACTGAGGTACTAGGCAAAGTCTGGGAATCAGAGACAGTACCATCAGACTGGGGTAAGTCACTTATTATACCGATATTCAAGAAGGGAAACAAGTCCTCGTGTGATAATCATAGGGGGATCAGCCTAACGAACATAGTCTCTAAAATCCTAGGCTCAGTAATCATGCATAGACTAAGCAGAACTCGGGAGGAACAGACAAGGGAAAATCAAGCAGGCTTTAGACCAGGTAGAGGGTGCATAGATCATATCTTCACTCTTCGACAGATTCTAGAACATAGACACACTTTTCGGCGTCCAACAATTGTCATATTTCTTGACTTGAAGGCGGCCTTCGACTCCGTGGATCGAAAGGTACTATGGCAATGTCTGACTGTGAAGGGAGTGCCAAGAAAGTACATTGCACTAATCAAGGCACTCTATTCAAACTCACGTAGTCGTGTAAGGGCTTATGGGGAATTGTCATCTGAATTGGTAACAACCAGTGGTGTCCGACAGGGATGTCCACTTTCCCCATTTCTGTTTAACTTCATCATAGATATGCTAATGGAAGTATCCTTAACTGAACGTAGTGACTTAGGAATCGACTTGTTACCAGGGAATAATCTTATGGACTTAGAATATGCAGATGACATAGTCCTGTTAGGGGAGGATGCTGACAAAATGCAGAGTCTTCTGAACACCTTGAGCAGCAATCTTCGTATGTTTGGCATGCGATTCGCCCCTGCAAAATGTAAGATGCTGCTACAGGACTGGACACGTCAACCCTAACTTAGTGATAGGGAGTGAAGTGATAGAACATGTTGACCACTTCACCTACTTGGGAAGTTGTATTAGCACCAACGGACTGATTGGCGATGAAATCTCAGCACGGATCCGAAAAGCTCGAGCTGCTTTCGCTGACTTACACCATCTCTGGCGTAGGCGTGACATCCGGTTATCAACCAAGGGACGTGTGTACTGCTCATCAGTTCGCTCCGTCCTTCTCTATGGCTCTGAAACATGGCCAATACGCGTTGAAGACATGAAAAGGTTGACTGCTTTCGATCATAGATGTCTGCGATCTCTGTCTCACGTTAGGTGGTTTCACAAGATAAGTAATGTTGACGTTAGGCGTAGAGTGTTGGGCAAAGAGGGAAAATCAATCGACGAGGCTATAAAGTTACATAGACTAAGATGGCTAGGTCACGTGCTGCGCATGCCTAACCACCGCCTCCCCCGACGGGCATTGCTAGCTGATATAGGTTCAGGTTGGAAAAGAGCCAGTGGTGGCCAAACAAAAACATGGCATCAATCCATGAAATCCTTGACAGTTAAACTGAGTCAGGTAGGGAGATGCAGACTCCCGGGTTGGGGCCCTCGGGACTCTAGGAATCAATGGCTGGAGACAATAGGTGACATGGCTCAAAATCGTTGTCAATGGCGCAGATGTATTCAGTCTCTGTAATCTTTCATATTCCTTTCTACCATTACCCATTCTGTTTCACTCTTATACTTGTCAAACTCTATTAATTCTCTTCACTCATCTTCTTGTCTACCTCTGTGTGCTATTTGGAACGTGGCAACTCGAACTGCTGCACTTCGGTGCCAAGTTCTATGTTGAATCCA